CAGCACCAGCACCAGGGGAAGGGCCCCCTCCAGGAACAGTGCTGGAGCCACAATCAGCCCCAGAGTCACCCTGTCCCTGTCCCGGGACTGTCAAGAGCCTACACACTGAGGAGTGGCCTGACATCACGACCTTCCCTCCCAGGCTGCTGGCAGAGCAGCTGACCCTCATAGATGCGGTGAGCAGCTGGGCTTTGCAGGCTGTGCGTCTGGCACCAGCTGTCTCAGACCAGCCTCTCCCTGAGGAGCAGCCAATGCCCTGGGTCCAGTTTCAGCCCCACTTCTTACCAACCATGGGATCTGGATGAGTTTCCTCACCCACAAGCCTTCCCTGTCTGCATGTGGACAGCAGAGATGGGAAATCACCTGTACCAGCTTCACAGAGTGACTGTGCAGACTGAATGACAGGGGATGGACAGAAAGCAGGACAGGGCAGGTGATCAGACACTTTGCGCTTCTCTTCTTCGCTTCTTCGCCTTCGCCTTTCTTCGCCTTTCTTTCTTTCGCCGCTTTCGCTAAATTCCTTCTCTGCAAGGCAGGTTTTTTCCGCAAGCGCAGCGTTTTGCAAGTGGGGTGGCAGCAAGGCAGCAAGTGGCCGTGTGCGCCCTGGGCCTCCCTGGTGGAAGGCAGCAAGACTTTCTGGGGTGGTGTTTTGGGGGCCACAATTCCCAAATTCCATCCAGTCATTTCTATACTTCTTGGAAATCCCAGTGAACAGTGCGACTGAATGGTGACCTTTTCTTTTCCAGATCCTGCTCCACCTCCAACACGAGATATCAACAATGCTGGCTCCTGAGCCAGCACCACCACTGCTGGCAGACCCGCCTGCTCCCACGCTGAGCCAGAGTCACCTGTAGCCCCTGATGTTCTGTAGGTCTACATTCAGCATCAGCACTGCAGCACCAGGGAAGGGCCCCCTCCAGGAACAGTGCTGGAGCCCCACTCAGCCCCAGACTCCCTTCTGTCCATCTCCTATCGTGGTCACATAGCCAACACACTGAGGAGCTGGGGACATCACAATGACCTTCCCTCCCCCAGGCTGCTGGCAGAGCAGCTGCCGCCATCCTCGCTGGCGGATGCGTGGTAAAGCAGCTGGGCTTTGCAGGCCGTGCCTCTGGCACCCTGCTTCAGACCAGCCTTTCTCTGAGGAGCGGCCAATGCCTCTGGGTCCAGTTTCCCCCATCACCAACCATGGGATCTGGATGAGTTTCCTCACCCGCCACAAGCTTTCCCCTGTCTGCATGTGGACAGCAGAGATGTATTATCACTGCGCTTAGCTGCAACAGAAAGTGACTGTGCAGACTGAATGACAGGGGATGGACCAGAAGCAGGACAGGGCAGGTGAATACCGAGGGGCAGCTGCCGCGGTCGCGCTTCCTCACCCAGCTGCTCCAAATAGGTAGAGCCTCAATGCACTTCTCGTAGCACTTATTAGGTAAATTCGATGCATACTAGATTCTAAGGCAGACACCAAACAGAGCCCATGTTGCAGCTGCGTGGAAACTGCACCAGTAGGGAGAGAGAAGGAGTAGAGGGTTGATTGGGATGCGAGGGAAGACACAAGGCCTCAGGATGGGGAGGCCTGAGCCTCTGTTCCCTGAGTGAGGATGGCCTGGGACAAATACTCTCTCTCTCCTCCACCCTGTTGGTCTCTGCCACACATGCATTCAGGGCTCTGTGTGGGCAGAACACTAAACTAGACTCCCTACAAGTCTGGGAGGCTTGAGATATGCCTGCAGAGTTTTCTGAGCCTGCCTCGTTCCCGCCAGGTGGTGGTAGAGATCTGAGACTGTGGATGACTGCTCTTGTGAGCTCCCAGTCCCCTGCCTGGGACTGTGGGGTAAGGTGACTCCCCTGAGCTGGGGTGTGCTGTGTCCATGCCACCTCCTCTCTTCCCCAAAGCGAGGTTCAAGAAGGAGCTCACGAATGCTTGCCCATCTGGGCCAACGATTATCAGAAGGGGAGCAAGTGAGCAATGTGCACCCACAGTTTGTGCCACCATTGCACACTTCAACAGGCTCACCAACTTGTGTCAAATTACAATTTCCTGCCTCGGGACCAAGCGTGCCACAGCATGAGGCTCCAGGATGGGGCCAGGGTGGAGCACTGGATCAACAGGCCAGGGGGCCATGGTTGGCCTTAGGTTCCCCTTTAAAAATGGGCAACTGCCTCTCTTTCTCCTCCATCGCTTTCAGGATTGGCATCTGCACCCTAGCCTGAGCCCTGCACACTTCTAAGCCCCTTCTTCCCAGAGCTTCCCTGACCTTGAATCCCCTCCTAAGGCCCAGTGGTGGCTGCTCACTTCGATGATCTCTCTCTTTGCTGAACTGAAGTCTTTCTAGATGAGTGACATTACCCAGTGTACCCAGTGTACCCTCCTGGAGGTTTCCTGCCTCTGCTTCATTCACTTAAGCGTGGAGATTTCAGCAGAGGGGGCTCACACTGATGAATGGCTGACTCCAACTCTGACCTCAGCTCACCCCTTCTCTCTCCAGGAGTGCCTAAGCCTCAACACTTCGGTGCACGCCATCGTCTCCTGCTCTTAGCAACCCGGGTCACATCGGCTACACAGACTTGGGCAGGAGTAAGGTGGAGGAGCTCCTCCACGGAGCACTAAAGTTGACTTATAGGGACCCATGTCTCCCCATGTGCCCTTTCAATCCACTCTGAAAGGTTCTTGGAGAACAAGGAGATCACTGGAGGCAGGGATGGCTGGTGGGTGTGGTCACTGCTCGCCCTGACCCCAGGCAAGGATTTTTACTCAGGAGTGTTTTTTAACCATCAGGAATGAGATTTCGGGATTTGCCAACTGAGGGTGAAAGTCAGTAAAAAGTTGGGGCAGGTACCCAGCAGTGGAACTGTGTCCAGTTGGAAGCTAACTGGAACACGTAAAGGCTCACACACATGGAAGTGGAGAGATGCGCTAGAGGAGCATGACAGTCCCACCCTGGTGCTCTGGAGCCCTTGTCATCAGAGGACCCCACTGGAAACCTCAAGGTGTGAAGCTGAGATTCAATTGGGTTTTCAAACAAAAGAGATTGAACTCACAAATTCTCCCGTGATTCCCCGCCAAGGCTGGCCTCGGCGCCTTCCTTTTCTTTCCTCTGTCCATAGCAAAAGCACAAAATATCTGAAACAACTCTGCAAAAAAAGACACTGCAGAAGAGGGACCTGGGGCTGCATCAAAGCGTACAGTGGGAGTCTGGGAGATGTGGGACAACTGTTTAAGGGTCAGGAGAAGAGTGAGTTTGGAAGGGCATTGGACCTGGTGTACAGTGGTTATTTTGTAATGTTTTGACTTACCTACAAAAAGTGACTTGAAAATGCCCTCCATACTACTTTGGGTAAATAGGAGGGCAGGTGGTGGTGAAGTCGCGGTCGTGGAGTGCACGGCATGGGGAGGCCCTGGAAGTGGGATGTGGCAATGGCTGCTGGGCTTCTGAGTGGGGTGATGAGAGCTGCAGCATTAGCAGGACTCTGGCTCCCATGCTGGTCCATGCTGCTGGCATGGCAGCCTTCCTCCCAGGCTGGGGGTGGTCATTGTAGGCGGACTTTCCTTCCTCAAACTGGCAGCAATTCCTCAGTTGTAGGCCTCTGCTGAAACTCTGTCTGCAGCGCACCTCCATGGGCAGGGGGCATCTGGGGGAAAAAGAGGGAACAACAACAGAAGCTCATGTGCCAGGGAGAGACTGCCCAGCTATGGGTACCAATGGGCAACCACAGGTAGATGTATGTGCTGCTTGGGATTCCCTGCTCTGCCCTTTGCAGATATCTGAAAATGGTCAGTGCGCCGCTGCGATTCTCACCAGTTAGTGCAGTGACAGCACAACACAAAAGCATGCCTGGGCGAGACAAGTATCTGGGGATCTGCGCTCCCTAGGGATCCCCTGAACAGATCGCAGAATCTTCCATGCAAATGAGAAGGCTGCTCCCCACCCAGATTCTCCTGGAAACCCTGCCATGTCCATCAGAGGTGTCGCCTTTGTGAGGCCACATCCTGAGTGGGAGAGTCTGTGCAACGATCTCCACTCTCCGGGGGATCACCGCAGGCCAACCATGGATTTGGCATGGCACAAACCCAGTTTGTGTGGCAGAGACTCCAGTGGGGCTCAGACACACGCTGGTGCCACCCACCAGGTAGGTTCCCTAAAATGCCCTGCTGCCTCTTTCTTTCCCCATCACGACTCTGCAAGGCTGAGAGACCTAGACACCAGACAGAGCAACGCTGACCCCGATGGTGGTGGGTGTTGGGGATGTGGCTGAGGCAGCCAGAGACAGAGCCTGGTGGAGTGAGGTGCCTTCTTTGGAGCCCTGGGGAGTCACTGCCCACTCTGGGTCTCTGCTCTTTCTTTATCTGGCAAATGAAGGGATGCTGAGTCTGTAGTGCAGACTTGCCACAGCAGTGGAAATGAGGTTCGAAAGAAAGCAATTTGAGGATGCTCATGCCTGGTTTTTCCTCAGAGGGATGAGGGGGAGAATAGAATGACAACAGCTAAACAGGTAACAGTACTCAGGAGGTCCTGTGAGGTAGCTGTGGTTTTCATGGCTCTTTACAGAAGAGGAAACAGTCTCAGGGAGGCCTGGCTGCATGATCTGGTAACACACACACGGAGTGTGGAGCTGGCCAGTGGTATGAGCACTGTGCCAGGTGACTCACGCCAGTCCCTGGGGATCCAAGTGTGGGGTGGCTGGGGTGTAACTGGGGGTGAGATCCCTTCTTCTGTCCTCCCTCACCTGGCAGGCGGCTTTAAGGTGGCCACTCCAGGAGAGGAACCCCCTGAGCCCAGATGAGGCTGAGGCAAAGAAGGTGAGTGAGAGATTGTCGAGATGGAGGGGATCGGGGTTGGGGGTAGACTGAGAGGCAGGGTACTCCTTTCCCCACCAGCTGGGAGACTCCATATCAAGATAAGCTTCCTTCTCCCCTGGGCTCCTGCTCCTCCTATGGCCACATTGGGCCTGAAACCCATTGGAGACCACAGATAAGGCGCGGGTCTGGGAAGCAGGACTCAGAGTGAGTGCATGTGGGTAGAGAGGTGTGGGGCGTCTGCATCACCAGACAGGCTGTCCTTGTTAAAAATGCCACCATAGAAGTAACTAGGAAGTGATTGCCAGACTTGAGGTCAGCTGGAATAGAGGAGGCAGAGAATTGGGAAAGGCAGCTGAGAGTCTTTGGCTGCTACAACTGGGAGACCCTCTCGAGGGGGTTCTCTGGGGAGACAGGGGCTGATGACTCATGTGGACAGGGGCCTTGGGCAGGCAAAAGAGAGCCTAATACCACTCATCACTCACTACCCTCCCACCTTCCCACTCCTCCATGGCACAGGGCGTGGTCCCCTTCCCTGGGGGATTTTTTCTGGACTGGGAGTTGCCACAGGTTGATCTCGCCATCCCGGATGACTGATGTGAGTGAGCCTGGGGCAGGCCAAGCGGTGGGGAACCAGATCCCGAGGCTTGGGAGAGGCTCACCTGAGCCCCCAGATCTTAGCCCTTGGGAAACTCTCCTCTCCTGAGAGCCTCGCCACAGCTTTCAAAGCTCCTCTCCTCCCGCTGTGGGAGGGGTGCCAAAGCCCATTCACCTCTGACTGACAGGGGCTCCACATGGCAGTCACCAGTCCCTATCCCTGAGTGGTGAGGCTGCAGAGCTGCCTGACTGCAACGCTGTTGAGCCGTGGGCTGAGCTGGACTCAGCCTCCCTAGGGTAGTCCCATAAAGCGTGAAATTGAGCCTTCCCAAGGGCAGGAGGTAATTCCAGGGTCACTGAGCACTTTCTTTCTACGAGAAACCTCAGTTTGTCTGTCTGTCATCTCAGAGGTTGGGGTGAAACTTGGAGCCTCCAGTTTCCTCTCATGCCCCTGCCCTCAGAGCCCTGGAGCCTGAGACAGGAGAACCAAGTTCTGTCATGTGCACATCCCCTGACTCCCTGGTGGCCCTGGCAGTAGTGCAGCATGGGAAGGGATGGGGTGAAGCTGTTGTGTGGCCAGGACCTTTTCGATGGGCTTCCACCTACTCCAGGGCAACAAAAAACAAGAGGAGAAAGGTGTGAGCAGCTGGGGCATTCACGTTGGATGAGGGTAGGAATGTGGACGTGCCACAGTCCACCTCTGGGCGTGGACACTCCCTGGCTCCATCCTCTACATCTTAGGCTTACTGGAGTTTGACACACACACAGGAGGAGACCTATCCCCAGTTGGGAAAGTGGGAAAGGCACTGGAATCAAAGACCAAAGTTCCGTGCAGGAGGGGCTGTTAAGAATCCAACTCTGGAGAAACAGGCTGGGACTGCATGGGCCTTCATGAATAATATCTCCAGGGACCAGCCTCTCCTGCCTGCCAAAGGTCCTTCTTTGGGGCTGCTTCCACCCAGACCCCAAGGTCAGCAACCTGCCCTCTGTCTCTAGGAGGTTCGCAGTTCTGGTGAAACAAAATGCAGCTGCTCCAAGTGGCTGCCATGAAGGCCCACCATAGTAAACTTCCGCCTCTGGAGAAATTTGTCACTTGTTTCTCAAGAATGGAGCAGCTTAAGAGGACAAGGAGAGGTGAGGGGGCTCCTGGCACATGGAAAGAGGGTAGCCTCCATCTCTTAACGTGGTCCTCACTCTGCCGCCCAGGCTGCACCGTAAGGTCACCATCTCTGCTCACTGTAACATCTGCCTCCCACCAACCAGGAGGATCAACTTCCTCAGCCTCCCATGTGCTGTGCTGGGACATTGTTATCCACCACCGTGTCCTAATTGTTCTGCTGTTGTTGTTCTGGGCACAGGTGGGGCTCTGCCTGGGCATGATGTCCAGGTCTCAAACTCCTGGCCTCAAGCAACTGAATCTGGCACCCTTTTCAGCCTCCCAGCATCACTGACAGCACAGGTGTGAGCCACCCAACCTGGCCTAGAGGAGGCTCTCCTGTGGACAGCTGCAGAGAGCCTATGGCCATGACTCCATGGCCAGCATCAAGCCCTGTTGCATGGGGACTGCTGGGGACCCAGGATTCCAGCTGGGCAGGCACTGAGAGGGGACCTGAGGTGGCTCAGGTGGGCCTCACACCTGCTCTCTGTTTTGCAGCTACAAGCTGTCCTGTCAGCTGGAGTGCCGAATCCCAGTAGCTGGAAACATCCCATGCTGGGCAGTGGTTGGACTGCCCACACGGCTTGAACACCAGCCTGCATCATCCTTCACCCACTCAACCGAATGTCAGAAACCAATATCTAGTGGCTGGCGGCTCGGGCGTGACCCCGCTCCTCAACCCAGCTGCTCCTGCTGGCCGGTGGTCAGCCACGCGTGTGGGACTTTTGCATACTAGGCGGGAAACCATTTCCTATGTTTATTTTCTTTAGTGTATAAGTACCGGATTTTTCCTTAACTTTCGCTAAAAATAAAAATTTCTAAAATACACTATTCAGAATGTCTTTTCCTAGTTAGTTGAAATGAGAACAGTAACTCCAGTGCAGTAATCTGTGACATAAAATTAAAGCCCGGATTCATAGTCTAACATGTCAAATTGAGGCTATGGCTGAACAAGTCATGGAATAGCGTTCTCACGTTATTCACCTGCCAATGGTTTAATGTTTTCCTTCTTTATTTAAATTAATTATTGCTGTCCTGCTTAAGAAGTCAACAAATCAAAAACAAACAAACAGTAACAATTTAAACTACAGTATGCCGCTCAATTTCTATGTCACTTGTTCTACTGAATGGTTACATTTTCAAACTTATGCTCTAGTTAAATTCAAGTTCCACTGGGTTACTTTATTTTTTGCCATAAATATTTAATGAATCACGCTAATATTTACTGAAGGGCTAGAGATGGGAGGTATTTATGCAAGTGGTAACGCGCTTCTCCAGAAGTCCTGGCACAAGGGAGAAGGTTTCGGCCATGAGTCTCAAGGAAATACAGATAAACTTTTCCCACTATGGAACTTCCTCTCTCCAGCCGTGACTTTCTGACACCTCCTAAGGGAAACATCAAGGAAGGAGAGAATTGCTTGAACCCAGTATCTAAAGGATGTCCCACAGCTAATTTGGACAAGCCCCCCGTTGTGGTGTATCAGACAAAAATGCGCACCTAAAAAGAAATCATGAGTCATTGAGGGTCTGAAATATGATACCCCAAATCAGCACAAATAAATACTTAAATCCTCAGTCCTGGAGCCACAAAACCTCTAAGGGGCAAGAAAAGTGGGGAGTTTATTTCAGCAAAACTTACACTTATGCATGAAGTCATAAAAAAAAGAAAGAAAACAAAAGCAAAAATTATCTAAGTGGCAACAAACCCTTGTGGGCCATGCAATTGATTTGGTATTACTTTTTCTTTTCTTATTTTGTGTTCTTTTGGATGGGACACAAAAAATCACTGCTAACAAATATGAATACAAACACATGGACTATACATCACTTTAGAGCTTCTGGGCGGCTTTGGGAAAGCATCACTCCATTAAAGAAGGCATCCTGATGAAAGTTCAACATCAAGCGTGTCTTCTTTGTAGGGACATGGATGAAGTTGGAAACCATCATTCTCGGGCAAAACTATTGCAAGAATGAAAACCAAACACCGTGACAGCAGCTTCTCACTATTGTCCATGCTTAATCACTCCTCACATAGGTGGGAATCAACAGCAGGCAACACCCGACACAGGAAGGGCATCATTACCACTTGGGGCCTGTGGTGGGTCTGGGGCTGGGGAGGGAGGAATAGGAGATATACCTAATGTAAATGATGAGTTAACTGGGTGCAGCATTAACATGGCACATGTATGCATATGTAACAAACCTGCACGTTGTGCAATAATTTGCATCTCTAGAACATAAAGTGTAATAATAAAAAAAAGAAGGCATCCTAAGCACATTGAAAGAAAAGTTCAGCAGAAACATCTCAGAATGGGTTGCAAACGAACATGTATGAGAAACTAACACCACTCTGGGAAAATGAACAAAATCTAATACCCAAGCTAAAACTGGGCAAAGAACCTGAACAGGCACATCTGAAAAGTAATCACAAAACTCCAGCAGACTGACAGGTCAAAGAGAAGCTGCCCAAATTTCACTAATCATCACACACATGTGCTCCAAGTGCAAACCAAGGCTCAGATACTCCTCACTCTAATTAGGATGACACTTACCAAAAACAACAAAAAACCCATACATTCACAGGTAGTGGCTAATGTAGAAGGCAGAAAAGAGATTTTATACACTACTGGTGAGAATGTACATTACTATACAATACAAGGAAAACAGCTGACGGTGCCTTAAACATTTTACAACTACCGTTTCTCACCTAGGAATACCACTCACTGGTTATGCTGGCCAGAAAGCACATGAAATCTGGCAAAGCTGCAGTAAGAGATATCAGGCCTTCTTATAATTGAAGCACTATGCACAATAGCGAAGGTATCCAATCAACCTACCACTGTGTGTGCCAGATAAAGGGATAAAGAAACTGGCAAACACGATAGAATCCTCGCCATAGAATTCATGAAACCAGTTACCATCTGCAACAACATACAGAAACCTGGAGGACAAAGCGATTCCATGAAATGAGCCAGAAGAGAGAAACAAACACGGCATGATTCCATGCCTGCGAGAATGAGATCAACTTTGTCTCTAAAACTTTATCTCCTAGTAGAACATTCCACAGTAGTGAAGAGGAGTCACCGGGGTTGGGGAGGTGCACAGGAACTGGGAATGGATGCAGGAAAAAGGCTCCAGAAGACAGGGAATAAATTCAGCTGTTCTACCCCACACAGCAGGATGCCCAGAGTCCGTATCCTGTACCATATTTTCCAAAAAGTTAAGAAAGAAGGATTACCTCATATAGAAAATATTACAACCACAGAGAACTAATAAAGGTAATAATTCACAAGGTAACAGAGACAGTCAGTCAATGCCTGTTTCATCATCATTACACAAGGCACACACATGCATGGATTAAAATGTCCCACTCTTTTAATTGTATAACTTACTAGAGAGCAAATTGGTTTAAAGGAATAGAAATAAACAATGCTGAAGTTCACGAGACCAGGAAATGCCCCCAGCAGCAGTCTGAGAATCCAAACTACATTGATGCATGACAACTCCTGATGTGAAATTTCGCCAAACTCTAGGGACCTGCTTCCCCATGGATGAGTGGAAGAGAACACAGAACCTGCAAAAGCTCATCACACACCTCATACCACCTGATGGATGAAATACACACAGATGAGTAATGGAGAACCTTCAATATCTTGGGACAAATGTAGAGGGAGCAGCTAAAATACAGAAGAAAAAAAAACATTTTGAATGCTCCCACTTTTAGTTCATTAAAGGTATGTACTTAAACACTTGTGGATGAAATGAAAGATAAAAATGAAGACCCAAAATCATGTAAGAAAAAAAGATCACCTTGCTTAAACCATCCTTTGATTAGCCAGTTTGCTGATGCAAAGTATTTACATGTTTTCAAGACCCCACACACAGACACTGCCAAGCAAACAGTGGTAGTAATCGATACATAAGGGACCTACGCACTAAAGAGCCACCTACAACAACACAAGAAATTACCCACAGAGTAGTACATAGATGACATACAAGCGAGAGAAAATGTTCCCAAACTATGCACCAAGCCAGAACAAGTTCTAATATCCAGAATCTACCTTGCAAAAAGACCTTACAGCACAAATCAATTAGCAAAATCACCCTAATAATTAATAGGCAATGGATAAGATATAAAACACCGGCACACTTCTCAAAGATGATGATGAGCAACCAAGAAGTTGAAAATATGCTCAACCTAATTATCAGAGAAATATAAATCAAAATCACAATGAGATATATCTCACGCTGGTCAGAATGGGGATGCACCTACATGCTGGGGCCGGGCGCGTGGCTCAAGCCTGTAATCCCAGCACTTTGGGAGGCTGAGATGGGCGGATCACGAGGTCAGGAGATCGCGACCATCCTGGCTAACACGGAAGCCCCGTCTGTGCAGTGGCCAAAAAATACAAAACAAAAAAATCCGCGAGAGGTGGCGGGCGCCTGTAGTCCCGGCTACTCAGGAGCCTGAGGCAGGAGAATGGCGCGAACCCGGGAGGTGGAGCTTGTAGTGAGCTGAGATCCGGCCACTGCACTCCAGCCTGGGCTACAGAGCGAGACTCCGTCTCCAAAAAAAAAAAAAAAAAAAAAAAAAAAAAGAAAAGGACACTGGCGAGGCAGCAGAGAAAGAAGACACTGGTCCACTTTGTGAAACGCCTTAAAAGTAGTTCAGACACCATGAAAGCACTTCGAGATTGCTCAAAGAACTTGAAGCAGAACTACCATCTGACCCCAGCAATCCCCACCACTGGGGTATACATGTGAGGAAAATAAATCCTTCTGTCCAAAACACACACATGCAATAATGTCATGGCAGCAGTATTTGCTGGGCAAACACATGAAATCGCCAGCCTAGCACCCATCAACAGTGGAAACACATCAAAGGAAATGGTACACATATACCACAAAACTAGCAGCCATTCCAAAGAGAAGAAATCATGTCCTTGCAGCAATATGAAAGGGAGAGAGAGCTGGAAGTCATGTATTGGCCTAAAAAGAGAAATAAGGAAAACAGAACACCAGGGGTCACCCACATGTTCTCAATTTATAAGATGGAGCTAACATTGAATACACCCCACCAAAAGGAAACAACAGACACTGGTGATCATCCGATGAAAAGGACGGCATGAGGTATAAAAAAGGAAGGCCTACTCAGGGGCAAGCACCCACCCTTCCGGTGGCTGATAAGGTTGCTTGGACCCCTCCAAGTCTCAGTAAGTCATGGAATATACCAAAGGCAGTAACTAATCTGCATTTGTACCCTTTTGTCTATATAATAAACATAGAAATTATGTAAAAATACAAAACCTAGAAGCTAAAAGCATGAATGAAAAACAGCCAAACTTTTATAATTATCCAACAATCTTTTATTGGCATAAACTAAGAAAGTGGACAATAATGAGAAACCAAATATTCAACCCCACCTCCTACATATATAGTGGTAAACACGTTTTTCAAAAGAACACCAAAAAGATGCAATCGGAAAGAGCTCTGTCTGGCCAGATCATTTTGAGCAAAACTGAATATTCACATACAAACACTGAAATAGGACCCTTGTGTCACGCAACACAAAAATCAATGCAAAATACATTAAAGACCTAAAACTCAATTCGGAACCACAACTCCACAAGAAACATAGGGTGTGCATTATTTTAGAAAAGAAATCCATACATGTAGGCTGCTAAAGGTATTTTAAAACATTACAAAACAAAGGAAACACTCCAAGAAAACACCCATAGACAAGCAGTTTGGCATTTTAACAGCAAGAGACCCGGCTCCACAGAACAGTGGGGCGGTGTACACATTGAAGACCCAGATATAAAAACCTGTGCACACCTGAAACCATTGATATTTGCAAAAAAATCAATAAAAATGCAAGCAATGAAAGGGACTCTATCAGCAAGGGTGCTGATAAGTGGGCTCACCTAGTTAGATGTAGAAGAAATAACACTGGGCCCCTATTTCACCAATATATGTGGCACAGAAAGCAACTCAAAATGAATCAAAGATTGAAAATGTAAAAATGCTGGGCTGGATGAGTGTGGTGCCTCTCTCTGGCCCCTGAATCCAGCACTCTGGGAGGTCGAAGCAAGCGGATGACTTGAGGTCCTGGAGTTTGGAGACTTCCAGACCACCCCTGGCCTTCCATACATGGTGAAGCCGATGTCTAAGAAAAATTGTAAAAGTTGGGGCTGGGCGTGGTGGCACGTGCTGGGCCTGTACTCCCAGCTACTCAGTGAGAATATGCAGAAGAATCACTTGAACCCAGAAGCTGGAAGGCAGAGCCGAGATCACCCATTGCATTCCAGCCTGTATGAGAGACTGGAGACTTGGTCTGTAAATACACAATGTAAATACATAAAATCCAATACCTGAAACTGTCCATAAAAAAATCCTGCATGAGAATCTAGTAAATAATTTCTTTTGGATAGAGAGAGGTGTTTATGGTGAAGCATTTATATGTCAAGTCCCCAAAAGCAACGGCAACAAAAACAATAACTGGTAAGTGGGACCTAAAACACAAAAGAGCTGCTGCACAGAACAAGAAACAACCACAGAGACAGCACACAGCCTATAGAATGAGGGAAAACATTCCCCAACTACACATCTGAAAAACAGCTAATATCTACGATTTACCGTAAAGACCTCAAACAAATAAAAATCAGAAAGAAAACAACTTACAAGGCAAGTGAAAGTGAACACTTAAAAGCAGTGTGTGTACTCAGTAACAACTAACGAGCATGAAAAACGCGGTTCGATCTCACTGATCATCAGAGAAATGCAAATCAGAAACATACTGAGATACCGTCTCACACTGGTCAGAATGGCAATTATGACACACAGTCCACAACAACACAGATCAGGTGGGGAGATGAGCAAAGAAATGCAGGTCCACTGTTGGGGGAAATGCAAACTAGTTCAGATCCCCTGAAGAGCAGTGTGGACATTTCTCAAAGAAATTAAAAAGAGAAACTACCACCCAAACGCTGCAAACCCACTCCTAAGGATCTATAAAAAAAGGGAAAATCCTTCCATCTACACTCACATGCACTCCTATGTTCATGGCAGTACTACTCACACAATGGTAAGACATGAATCAGCCTTGGTGCCCATCAGTAGTGGATCAGAGAAAGGAAATGTGGTACACACACACCAACAGAACACCAAGCACAGCTGTAAACAACAAATACATGCCTGCATTCAGAAACCTGACAGAGCCATAGGCCATAATGAACAAAAAGGCAAGCAAGAACAGAAAACCAAAATTTTCAAAAAAAACAGCTAAAATAAAAAGCAGCTGTGAATGCTCCTTCTCCACAGAGAAAACACCACAATCCCTTTGAGTTTCCTGGGTTGCAGAGGTGCTGGGCTGGGACACCGCAACTTCATTATGATGCTACCTTTACACAGATCAAAATTGTCCTTTGCAACTGGGCCGGTTATACACATTGCTGGTTTCCCACGGCAATGAAACTGCCGCTCCATTTTTAAAGTTCATTGTCGTGAGTGAGATGATATCTGAGTGTGGTTTTGATTGACTTCTCATGAGGATCAGTAATGTAGATTCAGAATCTTTTACCTGTGCATTTCAGGTCTTGTGTCTTTGGCCAGTCTTTTACACATCAAATTGCACGCAAAATGTAAATCAAAACCACACTTGGGGATATTGGTAACAGGCAGAGTGACACTTTCTAGAGAGTGTAATAAAAACCTGAAGCCCTTCTGTAAATTATGCTGCAGGGTGGCAATATCTGAAAGAATGTGTAAAGCCTGGGCGATCCAAATGTTGACACTTCCGCCGTGCCCAATGGAAGCAAGCATGACCCAGCCTTCCATTCTCCACAGAGAAATAATAATGATGGAAGGTCATGCTGGGTGACTTCTGGTGTGATATGATGATTTGATCATTATACTACACATACATATGTCAAAATGTCCCTTGCACTCACAGTGTGCGAATGTATACCCACACACACACACACACACACACACTCTATAGAAACAAAACTGCTACCAAATGTTGGTAGTTCTAACTGGAGAAATCTGAGTGTGATTTTCACTCTACACTTTTGTGTGCATCAGCGATGGTGAGACTTTGACCTGTGCATCAACCTCATGTCTTCGTGTGTGTCCCCTCTCTGCCCAGTCCTACACACAAACAAATTAAAAACAAATTCACAATAACATAGCAAGTACCTACCTCATAATATCACAGCCAATAACACAAAAATAAAAACACACTCAAGATTCCAGCTCACCTACATGCAACAGATGCTACAAGAAAAAAGTTGAAAATGTGGCTGTTCACAATCCAATCAAGGTGTGGATTTCCTCGAGGAGGCACTTGTCTCCAGATCTGGTAAATGGTAAAACTAGTAAGTGCATCACCAAAGAAACCACTTGGATGTTCCTTGAAATCCTAAAAACTACAACTACCATTTTCTCCAGCAATTCTATTCCTAGGTGAAAGTGTGAGAGCATATACACAGAGGACAGTGCACATGATCATGATTACAAAGAGATTATCCGTCATCCCAGGTGGTGCGTGGCATTCAGCCTCTATGCTCAAAAGCCAAGAAAAGAAATCAAGCCTACCCGTCCATCCAGAGATGAAAGCGATGTTGGAAGAATCTCTGTACAGACAGGATGGAATTATTTCATGTACCATCAAAATTCATGGAATCCCATTACGCAATATGGCTACACATACCCTGAGATATTGCAAAATCAAACTGTGAAAGGCAGACGGTTCAAGGCGCTGCACATGTTCTCACCAAGTGGAGCTGAACAACTCACTGTACATGAAAAATGGCAGCAGTGGCCACCAGACTAACAGAGGAGAGGACATCAAGGATTGGCAGGGTAATACTACAGGAGAGGAAACATTCTGGTATTCCACTCCAAAGCAGGGCGATGATACTTAACGATACGATCGTGCTGCTTAAATAGCTGCTAAACAATGAGGATACCAACACCGCACATGCTCACGCTTTGCCACACATCGAAGATATCAAACTTAAGCACGTGGTCAAAGGCAAGCATGGGAAACCTCTGATTTTATCCATACCAAGGTATAAACACGTATCGCAAAAATGTCCCAAATGCACCTGGGACATGGCAAAACAAACGCGGCGAAAACGTGAAAGTAATCTATACATCGCTAAAATGTTCACATGGAACCACTGAAGAGCTGGGTGAACGCCCATGAATACAGTGTAAAAGCGCAATTAGGAATACAAACTCAATTGGAGGCTGCCACATTCCTCCCCAATTTCAAATTAAGTATGTAACACCTCCACTCATCCAACATCACTACAGTGTAGTGGTGCACAAAAATGAATCCATGAACCTAGGGACATAAGAGAATTCTAAACACACACACTGTAAAGTGCAGTCAACACATTATTTTTTCAAAGAATGCCTAGAAGACGACGAGCTACGCAAAAGGTCATGCGGCCCGGCAGTAATTTCCAGTAGTTTTAGTGATCGAGTTGGCTTTTTTGATCTCTGAGGCTGTGCAGAGGAGCCGCTGGGCAAGAGGCACTCTCCTCAGCTTGGCCAAAATGGTGAACTCTAGCAAAAAAAAATATGAAAAAGATATTAGCTGGTGTGTAAACACAGCAATCCCAGCCACTGTGTATGATAAGGCAGGAGAATCAAGCAAAGGGAGGCGGAGGTTACAGAGCTGAGATCCGCCACTGTAATCAGTCTGGGAGTACTGAGTGACCTGTATCTCCAGGGGGAAAAAGTAGATGAGATGAGGAGTCAGCAGTCTGTTCACCTGAGTGGCCCAGCCGTGATCACTGATAGCCACATACAAAAGTTAGAATGAAATAAGACATTGACGTTATACAATACACAAACATAAACTCAAAAAATAAGGCAAAATAACCCAAACACCACAAGACCTAAAAGCATAAAACTGCTACAGGAAAACACAGAGTGAGCTTAAGTTGAGGAAAACCTGAATCTAAGTCAATAAGTGATAAAGCAAACAAGTCAAGAGGATGAAAAAGAGAAAAACAGAAAAAAACCACTTCCAAATAAATACAGAAGTCAAAAAAACTCTAAAGTTTTTGTTATTGACTACTCTTACAAAACAATCACTGCTAGTCAGGCACGGTGGCTCACACCTGTAAACCCAGGACTTTGGAAAGTCCGAGGTGGGTGGATCACCCAGGCCAGGAGCTGTGCATCTTCAGCCTGGCCACACCATGGTGAAACCCTTATCTACATACAAAAATTTAGACAGGTGGGCGTGGTGACAGTTCGTAATCCCAGCTACTCAGAGGATGAGGCAGGAGGGAACCACTTCTGTAAACCCATAGATGCAGAGGTTGCAGTGAGCCAAGATTAACAGTGGCAAAAATTCACACTGCACTCCAGTCTGGGCAACAAAGTAGAGATAATGTCTCTCAAAAAGAAGAGAAGAAGACGCTCAAGTGATCAACCAACATGAAAAACGACAACCTCTGTAAATACCCCAAACATTAACAAATGAGAGATATCATATCTCTAATGCTAATGTGCTGGGGGTAATTTTCCAAAGTAGAAAAACAAGTTAAGCAGGCAGCAAAGGAAAGTGTAACGCCAAGCACTCTTAAATGCACAAGCCAAAACTAGTTCACAACTGTGGAAACCAGTTTAGAGAGCTCTTCAAAAACTTAAACAGAACTACCATTGGACCGTGCCTGTTAAATTCCTGGCTCCACACACTTGGTATCTGGGCAATTCAAGACACAATAAAAATCCCTTCAACAAACAGACATGCCTTCCTCCTCTCGTGATTCATGGCCTTTGCCATTCACAAAAGAACAGATGTGGAAGCATCCTGTAGCTGACCAGCAACAGTGTGGATTTGAGTTGTTTTTTTAATGTGGTGCACACACACTACAAAAAATACTACACAGCCATAAGAACACACAATCACACAACCCAAGCAGCATGGGACAGACCTGGGGCTTATTATACTTAGCAAACCAAGGCAAGAACAGCAAATCCAAAATACTCAAAAAAAAGAAAAAAGAAAGAAAGAAACAAACGAAAAAAAGTTCTAGAACTGAGTGATGAAATGTCAATCTTACAGAACAAAACAAAAGTCAGCCTGCTGAAGACAGGAAAGAGTGTGATACTACTAGGGAACTCTAGGCTTCCCCCAAAAACAGAGAACTGGGGAGAAAGAAGCTCATCTCAGAATCTGTGACTGCTAAAGTGAAGGCTGGAAATGCCTAAGGTCAAACTTTCTCTCCCTCCCTTCAAAGGAGACTAGAGCTACCAGTGAGCCTAGAATGAATATCACATCTGCACCCCACCCACCCTGGGAGATCCCTTTAAACCAGGAGCTTGACACAGTGAGGACAGAAATAAGTGAACGTGCACTAACAAGTCCTGAAAGTTAGAGGGCGATTCTCAATTTCCTTTTGCACACAGCAGAAGAACTGTGTCTCTGTTCCAGGAAATGCCTGCAGAGAGAGCGTCCTGTATTCCCTTCATCACCAGATGGAGGCAAGGTGGCCCAGTGCTAGTACTCTTAAGCACCCCTTGTGACCAATCCCAAGGAGTGTTGACTAATCTAAACCAAAGGCTCTGATGTTCATTGGGCAGAAAAGAGCAGGTGGACTGCCAAGAGAATCTCTCATGAACGCGGCACCCCCACAGCCCATAGAGTTAAAGTTTCCTTATCATGATGCCGTAAGAAACTGAAAACAAACAAGCCAGACCCTCACACACATATTTCCATTTTCCTTCTGATTTCATAAGCAAGCACTCCTCCCAGCCTCTCCTCACAAGCAGCAGGGGATAACCTGGAGGCTCCCGGGAACCCCCATTGGGTTTTTCTCCCTGGCAACGTAGTTCCCACCTGGATGAGTCTCCCTCGTCACTTATACTTTCCAGCGTCAACAAGTAAGTCTCTATAGCAGAAAGCAAAACACCAGATAAGTCATTATCAGAGCGACTCACCTACTCCTCCTACTTTAGCTGAAGCTGAATGATGGGCCCACCCCACGCTGCTTCCATAAGTATGATCTCCCCCCTCATCTTTCTTCTGGGTTGACAAAAAGCCTCCCACAGCTTCTGGGCAGCAGTTCTATACTGGCAAAATCGCTCACGAGAATCCCAAGCCTCTTTCCCAGCAGGGACCCAGAATCAGGTTTCTATACAATGAAGCCAGCAAGTTTTTCCCTTGGGAAGTGAGTTATTTCATGGTACATAAATCGCTTCCTTCCTTCCAAGCTGTTATCTGCAATTATATATATAAAGAAAAAAACATGAGGAATAACCACCGAGATTCCCATGCTGTAAGCTTCACACACAGATCTGTTATTCTCTGACAACGATAAAACCAGAAGGCAGTACAGTGATTGAGCCAGTTAGTCAAAATCCCCAAAGACTAGCAGCACAGAGTGGAGAGCTATAGAACAAGACCTCTATTCACAGAATTTACCTTTACATTTAATTTTATATGCAAACACACACAATGCGCTTAATCCAAGGAGGAAAACTGGCATTGTGGAAAATGCCTCAGTATTCAGAAGTTGATAATGGATGCTGTCATTTAGAAGCAGCATAGTGTACCACGTGACTAAAGAAGACACTCCTTACTGAATTCCAGCCCCACAAAGACAATACATAGTGGCTACAGTGTACATAATGTGCATTGCCAGGTTTTCAAATCAAAATTAATTGAGAAGAATCAGGAAAGCAAGACTGCTGTCGTGGTGAGGAAAAACGAAATCTCTACCCTTGACATCACCATCATCATCATCATCACCATCTTCATTATCACCTTCATCTTTGCATCTTTGTACCTAACATCTTAAAAACAGGCCATCGTCAGGATGAGCTGGAAGGACACAGAGTGTGGAAAAGATCAGTAATTGCGGTTGGTGACTGTGAGTCAATGCAGGGAGCTTTATCATCACTTGATGCAGGGGGTGGAGGTGGCTGATGAACAAGCATGGACTGAGTTAAGGCTGGCTATTCCACTGAGGGGAAGAGGATGGCAGCAGAGGAGGGGGAGCAGGAAAGGCATGAGACATGGAGGTCTTGGCTCTGTACCAGAGGCATCAGGCAGCAACACAAAAACAGTCAA